ATAGTTCGGGGATTTGTCGGACCAACATCCAGGGAGTTATCAGTGTGATTCAGCAGTACGAGGTGAGTGTCCTTCTTATATCCATAAGTCAAAGGCACCATGCCGACCCATTATTTGGTTATGTAGTATGTTAGTTGTTGTGTGATACATGTTGTGATCGGGTTGAAACACACTTGAGAGCAGGGCCTAATATGGCATGATGGGTTGAAATATACCCCAGGGCGGGGGCCACTATGATATGTTCGAGTTGAAATATACCCCAAGGCGGGGCCCACTGTGATATGTTTAGGTTGAAATATACCTAGGGCAGGGGCCATACTTGTTGTTCGGGTTGGAATGAACCCTAGGGCTAGGCCTATTTGTATGATTGGTATGTGGTGTTTTAGGGAACTCACCAAGCTTTATGCTTACGGTTTTCAGTTTATGTTTTAGGTACTTCTGTTTTCAAAGGGAAGAGCTCATGTTGAATGTAGAGCACGCACCACCTCGTTCCGCATCTTCTTCGCTTACTGTGATATGATATAATGATTGAGACATTTGTTTTATATGGATTCTTATGATGATGTTTTATGGTATACTGGTTTTATTAATTTAAAATGAAATTTTTGGGTCTTATTTTTGGGATGTTACATATTACTTTGATTATCTCCTACTACATTAAGAATCAGTCTATCTACACCTACTTTGTTCATATTAACATCTTATATCTTATTTAATCAATATTTATAAAAAAATATACCAAACTTAAATTGATAAATCCTACTATGTTGATCGCCAACATAAAACTGAAATGTGTGGTATGTACATGAATCGGTGTATTGCTTTATGCAAAATTCTACTATTTCGATTATTATAAAATATGAAATACAATGATCCAGTTACAATTTATAAAAACAAATCATAGAACTAAGAATGAAAAAGCTTGAAATCAAGGACAAGGGTTGTCACACTTGTAAGACAAGTAATTATGCAATTCAAAGAAGCTAGTTCTATAATGTATCTAAATTTCTAACAAATGGCTTTCAAAACTGCTTTAATATCATATTAAAGTTCACAGGCAAAAGCAAAATGTTTACAACATTAGGCACACTAATAAAATCCTGAAAACACACAAACATTATAACATAAGTTCTTCAATAGATTAACAGAATGAATGTGTTTACAAGTCATCAAAGGGATCCGAGATAAAAATTCAAGAAATTACATGCAACGATACATAAGCTATGGTGGCTTGAATGGAATCTCATTGAGTTGCCTTGATTTAAAATATACAATTACAATGTAAGGAAATTAGACTATAAACACAAATACACAAAAATATATTGAATTTATAGGTTTAGAAGGCTTGAAGATATATCATGGATGCCATTCTAATAGGTTTTTTGAGAAGCAAGTGATTGGAATTCATTTTGACTGTTAAGAGCAAGAAATCTTAGAAGTTAAAATCAAAATCGAAAGAGAATTTATAGAGAGAAAATAGATGGGGGGTATGGAGAGAAGAATGTAGCGTGAATCAGGTGGAGGAGTTTGGTAAAAAGGAGATAGTAGGAATCGATCTTCTCTGTTTCTGTTCTCTGTAGAGGCGACGATGATTAGTGCATAACTGGAATTCTTGATTTTTGTCCAAGGTTTGTCCCAATCATTCAATGTTTAAGAGGGGGAAAATGATCAATGTTTAATGTACCAAGTACAATAAAGCCAAATTAAACGTGTCAATTGGATATTTTGGACACAGTCCACCTTTAGACCTGGTTAAAAGCCAAATCAAACACACCTTAACCATACCACTTAAATAGAAAACAAGCTCCTAAGTTGCCATATAAGCTTTAGATGGTTTGTAAAATCCACAATAGTCGTAATATTTTTAAATTTCAACGCAATATAGCTTATTAATTCTTTATTACTTGTGTTAGCTCGACCTCGTTTACTTTGTTCATTTTTTATATTGTTATATAGTTTTGTAAGTTTATCCACTTGATGTTGCTCCTCACATTTTTCATTTTTTTAACCTCTCATAATTTAATCCTAAACTACATCAATATTTCAAACAAAACTTATCCTTTCAGTATTTTAAAGAGTGACACTTTTCCAAGTTTATATTGTTAAGCTACATTCCGTTTGGTATGCTCCTCCATGACACTTCCTAAATCAATCCACGATCCTACTTCCTACACACTGATGCGTAATATCCCTTTCGATGGGTTGGACGTAGGGGTGTAAACAAGCCGAGCCGAGCCCGAGCCTGACCAAGCTCGAGCTCAGTTCGTTTAATTTTAAAGCAGCTCGAGCTCGATTCGAGCCTTAAAATGAAGCTCGAGCTTGGCACGTGAACAATTTAGTGAGTTCGCAAGCCTAAACGAGCCTATATTTATTATATAGGGGATAAGGAATATACATTGCATAATTTTAGGTACTAAACCTCTAAAATATGTCGTTTAACTTAGTAAAAATATACGGTTTGGTTTTCATTTAGTAATATACCATCCATATAACATTTCTTTCCTCCATTATCGTTTTACCAACCATGTTTTTCTTTCATCCATTATCGTTTATTACTTTATCCTAACAAACATTATTGTTTTCCACTATCACGAAGGTCGAAGATAATCAATATCCATGCTTCTTTATCAAAACTATTGCATCGATCTTGAATCTACATCTTCAAGTGTTAATCGTGAATCCCTTAATCACAATCTTTATATAGTAAAACAACATATTTTCATGAGGTTTAGTACCTAAGCTTAGGTGGGGTTATAATGTATATTCACTTTTCCCATATATATATATATATATATTTGAACCTATCTCTATATAGGGCTAGGTTCAAATGTTCTTGACATCTATTGTGTGCCCATATGCACAAATCTGGACCAACGGATGAAATAGAATCAATGATCTTGATCTGAGGGTCTATGATATTAAAATAGGGTAACATGTACCATATAATAACATAAATTTCACCATAAGGGTATTTTGGTCAATTAACCTGTATTAAAAAAGGAAATTTCCAAGATTTTAAGGGATAATTAATCCCTTAAAAATATTTTTAAAAAATATGAATTTTTTAAATTTATAATTCGAATATAATTTTAATAATATCCGATTTCATTCTGTTAGAAATGACATGAAAAATTCAACCATAAACTAGTAAATAATATTTTTTGATTTTATTCTTGTGAAGAATTGATTATTATTCAATATTTTATATATATTAACATGCTTAAAGAATATGTATTACATATTATCAACACTAACATTTTATAAAGAATACATGTCTTCTTGCACTAATAATATATCAAATAATTACATTGTATGATTGTGATACAAAGAACATTCTTGAATAACAACAAAATTCTGAAAGAATGATAAGTGTAATTCTTTAAAACATAACAAGATTCTTAAAATGTGAGTGTGATCAATCTTTGATCATTCTTCAAACATTTCCTATCATGTCTTCAAACCATTCTTCAATCAATTCCTATAAAAAATGCAACAAAAACTAAGAATGGTTAAAAAAAATATCGTTCTTTAAGAATGACTTTACTGAACATGTTCATTCTGTGGAAAAATATCATAGCAAATCTATTACAAAAAGGCAAACACAATTCTAAAGAACCATTAACTCTAAAGTGCAATTACCATTACTGCACTACCATTACTTCTTGACAGAATATATATATATATATATAAT